ATAATTAAATTTTTAGATATCTTACAATTAGTAAAACGTTCTTTCCGTGTTCCATGCAAATTTAAGGATAAAAAGAAAGAGGACTAGTTTTAATTCTTCGGTTTTAATTCTCGTTTAACTTGTAACGACTCGATTCGAGGCGGGTCAGATTACAATTATCGTCTTCTGATGGATGTGCAATCGTCCGATCCGCGGCTACGCTCGATTCCATTGATTTCCGACGGCGACAGCGGAGCCAGCGAGGGAGCAAATATTTTCAGAGGCAAATCGATTGTCATACTCGGTTGCCCGCCCACGCTTTCATGCTCTCGCACCGCCCGTTCGTAGTTACGTAGTTTCGATTTCAGTGCATCCGTAGAATGAACGACGACGGAAGATGGAGCCTCCGTTTACGTCAGAGGCACGCGCGTCGGCGCGACATAAAGGAGCAGAGTCTTTGAACAGCCGCCCAGCGCGCCTACGTCGAGGATGAGCAATTAATCCCTTCGAAACGTTCAGTTGACTAATATCACGATAGCTTTCCATCTTGTAAGATTATTAAAGTGACCCTTTCATTAAATTAACAACCTAATAAAGTTCGATAATTATAAAATGATTAAAAATGAAAGATAATCTAATTGAGAAATATAAAACTCAATTTCTAATTTTGCAGAAAAAAAGAAAATATTTTAATGTGCGACAGAGTATCATGCCATATTTTGATTGAGTCTTACAATTATTATATGTCATTTCATTTCAAATTTATGAAGATGAGCTAGTTAATTCATAAACTAATTATGATGTTCTTATGTTCCAGGAGTTTCGAAAAGATTAATGATTATCATTCTTTTTATTTGGGAAAGATTTAAAAAACTCAATCCGTCAGTTCTCGCATCCGATGATGGAAGCCGATACTCAGCTGAGTGTTGGATAACAGCGAGCTAACTTATCGGCCTTTATCTCGCCTTTTCTCATTAGCTTCAATGATTAATGAAAAATGAAGGTATTCATGGCACAGGGCGATTCTCTGCGAAATCTTAGTACCGAGAAATAATACGGAAGGGGAAAAATCGTGAAATGAATAAATGGTCAAACAAGGAATTGATCGGAAGAGGCCAGAGCGTGGTTGTCTACGTCACGACGATTCTACGGCGTCGCATGAAACGCAGAAAGTGAGCTCGAGTGAATGAAAGACCAGGCGATCATGCCCGCAGTTTTACGACTGGCAGAAAAGAGACCGAGAGAGGAGGCTTTATCGTCGCCATGTGTATTGGGCCAAACTTGCGACAAGTTGTGGGATAACATATGGGAAACTTATATTTAAAAAATAGAGAATAGAAAAAGAGCAGAAAGCGTACATGAAATAGTCAAACTGATAACATTCCAATCTGCGTACTTTTTAAGTATGCATTTTACGTAAAACTAGAAGAAAGAGAAGAATAGAGAATACACAAGATAAATATTCAAAAAATGGGAATATCGAAATGACACAGAGATAGGCAGGAGCCATGAGAGAGATCAAGAGAGCGAGCGAGCGAGCGAGAGAGAGAGAGAGAAAGCAGGAACAAGAAAAAGAGAGAGAGAGAGATAGATGAAGGAAAATCAATAAGCACAAGCTATCAACACGTTTACTTTCGCGAGGAAAGCCTCTTTCGCGAGTTCCTGAGCCTCTAACGATCGCGAACGAGTTCTCGCGGAAGTGCTCCGAGGTGTCACCTGGAAGAGTCACTCCCTGGGGATGGGGAAGGAAGCTGTCTCCCTTCGCGGATGACGGATCGCTCCTCGCTGTGATCGTCGACGTGGGAAATCCCGCACGGATTCGCCGTCAGTTGTCGGCTGCGACGAGAGCGGAGAGATGCGACGACGGACGGGATGCACCACGCGCTGCGCTGCGCTCGGCTCCGCCGATCGATTGATATTTAACGCACGAGAGGGGTTCGCGAGGAGAGAGATAAAGCGGGCGGCCAAGCGCAGACGGGGGATATTTCCTCTCGTTGCAACAACGCGCTCTCGCGATGTGAGATGTCTCGCACTGACCAGCACGGCACACGATAGGGGGAGTTTATTTCGTAACAGCGAATGTAAGGAGACTGGACTGACCGATCTCGTTGAAGTGTCTCGCGCACCAGTAGACCACCCGCTTGGCTATAGCTAAAATATCGACCATTTCGTACGACCCCCGCCCGTCGTCGACCAAATCCGGGGGTAGATCCGCGCCTGCGCTACCAGCAACCCCGACTGACATCAATATAATTGTGAATAGAAGCACACGTTCGCTGGAGGAGAGAAAGAACACTTGTTGATCCGGGAGATGTCTCGCGGAATGACTTTCTGTGATTTTCAATCCAATTCCAAATTATTATCAGTTTCATCAGATATTTCTTTTTCAATAGAAAAATATTTTTATTAGGATTTTTTCTGGTTAAAAGTATAAAATCTTCTATTCCTTGTTGTGTATAACGTTAACAAGCATCGATTGAAAATGATTTTCTAATCTGGAAGAGATTAAATTTTTCTGTATCTTTTTATATATATATATATATA